AAGTATTTACCTCCTTCTTTTTATCATAGTACAATTAATATTGCTCCCGCCGTTTACATATAGGCCACCATAAGCCATTTTAACAGTGTCAATAGTAGCAGCAGGGATCCCTTACTCCGAACCCGGTATGTGAATACTACAGGGGTTTTCGGTCTGTTGCGCCCATATATTTCTAAGTTAGTAGACACCTCGATGGACAAACGAACCTTGGGCGCCGACTGGACCAAGTACCAGTCCTACTGCTGCCTTTTCGGCTCAGAAGTGCTGCTTCAACAGTAACTGGAGCCGGTCGATCGCTGCTCGGGCCGGGTTCCTCAGCGTTCTCAAGATCCGAATCAGAGGGTGGAGGGGGCAACTGCGCCGCGGCGCTCAAGAGTTCCCGTAGGATCGGTCGAACATCGCCTGTGTGGGAAGAAAAGTGATGGATAGTAAGAGGTCCTTCTCATCGGGCAAGGGGTTAGGATTTCAGAGAGAGAGCAAATGAAATGCAACAGTGGTTCGATACGTGCCTTCAGCCCGTCCTGGTTGTTCCTCTTCCTCCGCAGGTAGCACTGCACCTGCCCCCGACGAATCGACTGACGGAGACTCTGACCGTGCCTCAATTTCGGCGATCTCATCAGAATCCTCGGGCACGAAGCAGCCGCTCTCTAAACCCAGATCCGGCGAGAAGACCCACTTGTGGTACTTTATGATAGTTTCCACGAGCTGTGAAATGGTAGACATAAGACTCTATTAAAGAATACCAACACTTGTTTAAGACGACCATTTACTAGCGGTCAATTTAAAAGCCCACTGGTGGTTCATGAAAACTGTCTGTTTCCAACAAATCTATATGCAGCCTGTCATAGGATAGGTTTATGCAAACGTTTAATCATTAATTTGCACGAAAATCCAAACTGGTCAGTATTTCTTATTTTGACGTTGACGTTACATTGGAATAAGGTAACTTACGCAGATATTTCTTAGATAAATATCTAACTAAAATGCTTTTTAAAAGGGTAACTCATTATACACATTTTTAAAATTAATGTTAAGCATATTTATATCTGACTTTCATAGTGAACGTTCATTTTTCTCGCCAGTGAGCGTATGTATTTGGGTGAGTCTGTAAATAAGCAATAATATCAACAACTCACTTCCTCGGTAAATACTTTTAAGCTATATCATAGTTCAAAAATTTTGATAACACATCGAACCGAATGTAAATTTCACGGGGCATGGTTTGAAAACCCGGTAAATCGTGAAGTATCCGCCGGAATTTCAAGGACTATCTTCAAACAACTGCAATCCGATACCAGAAATAACTAAAACAATTAATAAGAGGAACGTTTTTTCTACTATGCAAAATACATTATGTTTACGATTTCACATGAAAATTATATTTAAATTTATTGGTCACAGTTAGAACGACTTTTCACGTTTTCATAATTTTAGATTTTTTGAAAAATTTTATGTTTCTGATAAAACTAAAAGTACTTTTTATGTTTCCTCTAAGTTTTAAATTTGCTTAAGGTTGTTCATGACTACTTAAAAGTTTTCGTACATGCACTAATGCCAGTTTGCGGGCGATTATTAATCTTTCGTGAATTTCGGCCTTTTGCATGATTTAGGTAATCTACGGTATGTTGCAGCCACAAAGAAAGTAATTGCAGCCGTCGGAAAATACCAGATGGATGGAGATGCTAGCTTTCACATTCTCGCCGATTAAAAGAATGGTGTCTGCGAATGCCATGGACAATATCTGAATACCAATCTTTGTTTTATGGGGCTTAAAGTAGTTTTTAAAAATAAGTTGTTATCATTCGATTGCATGTGCCTTGGAGTTTACACAGGCGAGTATTTATCTGCAACATTCTTTCGCCGAAAATGGGTCAAAATGTAGACGGGAAACTTTGCTAAATCAGAAATGAATTAAAAATTAGCCGGTCCGGCTATATTCCATCATAATCTTTCAACTCAAAGAAGAGTCCTTGACGAGGAGAAAGTTTTCCCCACTGAACAATTTAGTGTATTCGTGGGAGGGAAGAATCAAGACTCAAGGGAAGGCCTACTGGACATACGGAATTAAGGGGCATAAAGCTGCCAATATTCGATCAAAATTTCAGCTTTCGGTGTTCAAAGTCTTGAGATGCGGAACTTTCACCCACACCCAATTTCTACACTGAAACTACTCATAAAGTTTAAATTGGAGAAGAGGCAGGAGAAGATGAGGAATTGGGCTGGCGTCTCTGCGTTCGTTGATACTATATCCGCTTTAACTGAGTCCTAGGTTCCAGACACATTCTCCGCCAAATTTGTCTTGTAGGGCTGCCTAGATATCTATACCCCACCCAATTGTCTTAGCGAATTGGGAGGTAAAAACTTACTTCTTGCTTAACGAGTGTAAATGAATATTAATCGTGCTGAAAGTGAAAGAATATTAAACTAAGCTACCTATGGTTCAGCGATGATACCCATTTAAGCATTCAAGAAGTCAAGATAGGCGAACG